CTGATATACGTTTTTCTGAGAGCACACATGCGAAGCACACGGACAGAAAGCGGCTGTCACAGCATGTGAGTACTAAACTAAGTTCTCATTCACACACAAGTTTACATTAAAAACAGTCAACAGTGTAACAAGTCTGTTACAAAAACAGTGGGTTATGTCTGTGAAGGTAAACAGCTGGGAAATAAATCGCTTGTTTATTTTAGATCTGTGTGGCAGCAGCGTAATATACAGTAAATAAATCAATAAATCCACTGCTCTCTTGTCTCCTCTGAGGCTGGGACTCTAAACGGTGTTCTGTGCAGCCAAAGACAGAACAGTTAGCATGTTTTGCTCAAACTTTCTCCATGGCATTAGAGCTGGTACACCGTTGTCACTTGCGAAATCAAAATGACTGCGCCGTGGGTGGAAACTTACAGATTAAGGGGCGGTAATATTATAATGAGATCCCTTTGCCACATCATGATATGTCACCTTTAAAATAAGAAGCTTGTTAAAAGGATAGCTCACCCAAAAAAAAAAAAAATTCTGTCATAATTTACCCACCCTAATTTAATTCCAAACCTGGACGAGTTTCTTTGTTCTGTTGAGTACAAAAGAAGATATTTTGAAGAATGTTGGTAACCAAAAAGTTCGGTTGGTTGACTTCCAATTTTTTTCCCATACTATAAAAGTCAATGTCTACCGTCAACTTTTTCTCATTTGTCTTCTTTTCTGTTCAACAGAAGAAAGAAACTCATACAGCTTTTGAACAACTTGAGGGTGAGCAAATCATGCCAATTTTCATTTTTGGGTGAACTAATCAATTAATGTTCAAAAGTACAGTGAAACATTGGCATTGCCAAATGTTAGGATTATATCCACAGTTAATGTGATGAACTGAACTCATACATCCGATATAAATCACACTGAGACCAGTTAATTAAAAGTCATTGCAAAAATGGCCCAGAAAATGAAATTAGTTCTGTGAAATGCATCAACAAATCAAAGTAACTTTTCAATCAAAAGCTAATCAAAGTAACTTATTCAGGACATTCAATGAAGCCATTCCTTTGGCTTTATTGTACGTTGTGAAAAATTACTTTGTTATTATTATTATTATTTTAAACTATATTAGTACATATGCAATATCTGTGTGGATTAAGATAACGTTTAAAAATAGGATTTCTTTTGTAATTCTTCCCTCTCTAAAAAAAATATTAATTAAGAACAAAAAGTCACATATATTGATCTGGTGAAACAGCAAGTGGCAAATTAGCACACCAACACTGAGATTATGTAACACTGCTGTTGCTCAGCTTCTCTATCTATGTCTATCCCTTTAAATACTAATAAAACATTATTCACGGACGAATCTTCAGGCAATCATGAAGCACCTCAGATCAGCAGAAGAGATTCAGTTACTTCATGAATGTAGACAAAAATATTTTTTTATCAATCCCGCTGCAGTGTTCATGTGGCATGATCAGCAAAATGGCTTTATCTTCACGACTCAGCTGCTTTGAATTTTCATCTTGTTAAATTTAGTGTTACAACAGTGTAGAAATTGATACTTCTGGTTATCATGACCAGATAAGGTAATTAAGATAAGACTAAATTGTGAAAAACCATATTGTGCTTTGTATATGCACTATGTTTATGTTTATCTTTATGACTTTATGACATACATCTCTTGATAAGGTTTTCCAGGTCCAATTAAAGTAAGTGCAAGTCAGCCTGCTTGGGTTTTACATTTATGCAACACACAAAAAAAATAATATTAGCATTGGTTACAAACTTGTGTTGTTATAAAATAAATTATAAACATCCATATAAGCTTTTCCCTTCTTTGCACATCTTATATATGTTAAAATAATTTAAAAAATATGTATTTGAAAGAGTATTTTTTAATGGTAAAACAATAGGCATCACATTACAAATCATTTAAAGTGGTAGCCCAGCTAACAGGGAATATTCTCAGAACATTCTGGCAAGGTTCTCTCAAAGTTATGAACAAATGTTCCCTTAATACACTGAACAAAATTATAAACGCAACACTTTTGTTTTTGCCCCCATTTTTCATGAGCTGAACTCAAAGATCTAAGACTTTTTCTATGTACACAAAAGGCCTATTTCTCTCAAATATTGTTCACAAATCTGTGTTAGTGAGCACTTCTCCTTTGCCGAGATAATCCATCCACCTCACAGGTGTGGCATATCAAGATGCTGATTAGACAGCATGATTATTGCACAGGTGTGCCTTAGGCTGGCCACAGTAAATGGCCACTCTAAAATTTACAGTTTTACTGTATTGGGGGGTCCGGGGGGGTCCGAAAACCAGTCAGTATCTGGTGTAACCACCATTTGCCTCACGCAGTGCAACACATCTCCTTCGCATAGAGTTGATCAGATTGTTGATTGTGGCCTGTGGAATGTTGCTGGATATTGGCAGGAACTGGAACACGCTGTCGTATACGCCGATCCAGAGCATCCCAAACATGCTCAATAGGTGACATGTCCGGTGAGTATGCTGGCCATGCAAACAATATTTGAGAGAAATAGGCCTTTTGTGTACATAGAAAAAGTCTTAGATCTTTGAGTTCAGCTCATGAAAAATGGGGGCAAAAACAAAAGTGTTGCGTTTATAATTTTGTTCAGTGTAGAAGTGATCTGGTCTTTAATAATGTTCTCAAAACGTTAGCATAAAAACATTATTTATACATTATTCATGGAATGTTTTTCTTGAAATGTTTTAGCTAGATGTGTAATGTTTCTAATTGTTACTTTCTTTTGAATGTTCAGACAATATTCAAAAGTAACATTCTCATAATGTAAATGGAATGTTTCCTTAATGTCTGAATAACCAAGAAAAAAAAACTAAAAGTGTTTTAAACATTTTAAAAATTGATTGTTTTGAATGTTCAGAGAACATTCAGAAATAACGTTTTTATAACTTAATAGGAGCGTTAGTAAAATTCCCTTAAAGGGGTCATATGATGCGATTTCAAGTTTCCCTTTCTCTTTGGAGTGTTACAAGCTGCTTTCGGGCTCTGTCTTTACATTTATTTTGAAAGCTGAAGCTCGCGATTATGGTAAGGGGCGTTACATTTCCGACGAGTGCTTGCGGTGTCCGGCCAATCACAATGCACTGGGTCAGCTGGCCAATCAGAGCAGACTGCGCTTGTCAAAGGAAGGGGCTTTGTTGAAAACGACGTGTTTGAGAGAGGCGGGGCATAGAGGACCTACAATAATGTACAGTATTTGAAAAATAATGTGTTTTTTGAACATTAAAGTATGTCAACATATTCTGTTACACCAAATACACAAAATAATGATCTTTAAAAAAGCATCATATGACCCCTTTAAAACATATTTTTCTGAGCTGGAATAGCGATCACTTCCACTCTGAATGGAATCCTGGAAACCCAATGAACCCCATTCAAAAATAAACTAAAATTCCTTGCTGTTGGGTTTTGCTCACAGAGCTGCAGTTCATCCCAATTACTGGCTCAGTTTTAAAACAGGAGCTGGAGAGAGACAGTGGGGCAGTGGTACAAAGTTGGAAAAGGAGCTTATAGGATGAAAAGATCAATCCTGAGATGAGGATCAGAGAATGAGCTTAAGCTCTCGAAACACAGGAAGCAGCTGCTCTTCAGTGGTACAGAGAGGTCTGACACCCAAATCCCATTATCACAGCAGCCAATGACCAGCCGCTGATTCAATCTACCTGCAGAGCTTTACGCATACACAGCACTAATGCAAGATAACACCCTAGTTTTCATGGCCCCGGGCATCTTTTTTAAACACTTGCATCAGATGCAATTGGAAAGGACATGAAATCTTCAGAACCATGTTGATTTGTGGTACACATTTAAAGGGACAGTTCACCCAAAAATTTAAGTCCTGTCATTATTTACGCCAAACCTGTATGACTTTTGTTCTTCTGATTTGTCCATGCAATGAAAGACAAATCCAATTTTGGACAAAAAAATTACATTCATCAAAATATTGTCTATAATATTGTCGAAATTGGCCTAAATAATGTCCTGTTTAAACCAAAACTGTTTGGTTATGAACATACCAACAATGGCAATGGCATTGTCTAGGGACAAATTCTTTCTTCTGTGGCACATAAACTAACACATTTTGAAGACTGTTGGTGACCAAAAAGTTTAGGTTCCCATTGACTACCATTGTAATTTTTGTCCATATAATGGTAGTCAATGGCATTTGACAATGACAACATTTTGACCTGAGGGTGAATAAATGATGACAGAATTTAAATTGTTGGGTGAACTATCCCTTTAAAAGTCAAATTAGGGTTTCCTTTGATACCCGTAACATTCAACCAGCAAGACATTTGGTTAAATTGCTAATGAGTTTATTTGAAAAAGTGACAGGTAACATCATATCACAAAAAGGTATTGAATGACATGAGGACATCCTCTTATGCTTCTGGAACTGTATTGTATTTAAAGGGGTCATATGATGCGATTTCAATTTTTCCTTTCTCTTTGGAGTGTTACAAGCTCTTGGTGCATAAAGAAGATCTGTAAAGTTGCAAAGACAAAAGTCTGAAATCCAAAGAGATATTCTTTATAAAAGTTCAGAGTCAGCCACACCTACCTAAAACGGCTCGTTCTAACACGCCCCCACATATCTACATCACTATGTGGGAAGATTTGCATAATGCCGCCCAAATGTTCACGCAAAGAAAGAAGGCGTAACTTTTAGTCTCACTGTAGTATTGTTGCCGCCGCATCCATGTCGTGAAGATGCTGTGTGCTTCGTTGTGAAAGTGAAACTACTTTGTTTGGTCTTCCAAAAGAGGACGATATCCGCTCGGAATCCATAAGCGGAATCCAGCCCGGGGTCCGTCACATGTGGTTGCCGCTCATTCATCGGATCCACCGGGTGCGCCGTTCTCGACCCCGCCGCCTCAGCTCACTTTATCCCGGCCTCAGTGCACGCTAAACCGGGGCTTCCCCTCACGCTAGGCCGCTGTGTTTTTCGTTGTGAAAAAATCAGAGTTTCTAGTACAAATATTGATGTTTTATACAAAAATAGTTATTAAACAGAGCACAGGGCCGTTGCTACGTAATAATGCAGCCCCCCTTCTCCTTGAATGGGTTCTTGTCTTCTGGGACGCCCTTGATCAGGGGGTCTTCGGCAGACTTCCCCTCAACAAACGCAATGATCTCTGGGGCTGTTGTTGATACCTTAGAAGAAGAATCAGGAAAATGGTTTAAGGATGTTTATTTCATTGACTGCCACAATCTTGCTCAGATTGAAAAACAAGTAAGTAACCCATCAGAGGATGTAGCTGCAATTGCTACAAAAGTTTTGGAGATCTTAAAGGGACAGTTCATCGAAAAATGAAAGTTCTGTCATCATTTAATCACCCTCATGTTATTCCAAAACTGTGTGACTTCTGCGTAACATGAAATAAGATATTTTAAAGAATGTTGGTCACCATACAGTTGCGGTACCCATTGACAAAAATTGCAATGGAAGTCAATGGGAACCAAAACTGTTTGTTTACCAACATTCTTTAAAATATCTTCCATTATGTCCCCTAAGCCACACAGATTTGGAACGACACAAGGGTGAGTAAATGATGACTGAATTTTCATTATTAGGTGTACTGTCCCTTTAATGGTTGGAGTTCCTACCGCAGTTCGGGGAGTGTTCACTTCCAGCTTCAGCTGTTCCAGCTCCATCTTCAGGATTTCTTTATCTGACATGTCCCGAGCCATCCTGCCTATTCGGAGGAAATAAATGAAAGATATAAGTGAAATTAAGCTCAACATTCAACACTAAGGCCCGGTTTCACAGACAGGGCTTAGACTAAGCCAGGATTAGGCCATAGTGCAATTACGACATTTAAGTAATTTTTTATAAAAGTGCTTAGAAAAAAACATTACTGGTGTGCATCTTAAGACAAAACACAGGCAGTGATTTATTTTAAGATGAGTCAGTGCAAGTTTCTTTCAGTTGAAACAGCTCAGACTTACATTTTAGTCTAGGACTAGGCCTTATCTGTGAAACCGGGGGTAAGTCTCATAAACAATGCTTGTATACTGTAAAAAGTGATCCATTGTTTCTTTAACAAGATTTTTCACTCATAACATTTTTATATGATTTAATCGATAAAAATGAGATGACAATTAGATCAAATTTAAATGATGACTTAATGTATTTAGGTTGATTCAGTGATGTTATATTACATTTTTTACTTGACTAAAATCAATTTATTTAGATGATATTTTTAGGTTACCATTTTTCAATGGTTTGTTAAAAGCACTTAATTTAAAAAATAATAATAATTATAATTATAAAACTACCATAAAAAATGCACTTAGTGCACTTAGTACATAAGAAAATGCTTATAAAAAACAATATGTTCCAAATCAACTTATAAAGCAACATTTACAACATTTAGGTACATCAAAAAGCTATGCATTTATAGAGGTTAAATTTGATTATTTGAGCATGTTTTACAAGAAAATACTATTTCAGTTTTTCTATTTCAAAATTTCACATTTAATTCAATGTGTTACATGCCATTTCTTTGTAATTACTTGTGAAATTTACCAGCAATTTTTGAGTGAAAATTGCTACACACTAAATGCTTTTCACTGTTGCATGAAAAAAAAAAAAAAAAATGTGGAAAATAATGTGTTTTTTTAACTTTAAACCGCATAAACACATTTCGTTACACAAAATACACAAAATAATGTTCTTTTTAGCAACATCATATGACCCCTTTAAAACGAAAAAAAAAATCAGAGTTTCTAGTACAAATATTGATGTTTTATACAAAAATAGTTATTAAACAGAGCACAGGGCCGTTGCTACGTAATAATGCAGCCCCCCTTCTCCTTGAATGGGTTCTTGTCTTCTGGGACGCCCTTGATCAGGGGGTCTTCGGCAGACTTCCCCTCAACAAACGCAATGATCTCTGGGGCTGTTGTTGATACCTTAGAAGAAGAATCAGGAAAATGGTTTAAGGATGTTTATTTCATTGACTGCCACAATCTTGCTCAGATTGAAAAACAAGTAAGTAACCCATCAGAGGATGTAGCTGCAATTGCTACAAAAGTTTTGGAGATCTTAAAGGGACAGTTCATCGAAAAATGAAAGTTCTGTCATCATTTAATCACCCTCATGTTATTCCAAAACTGTGTGACTTCTGCGTAACATGAAATAAGATATTTTAAAGAATGTTGGTCACCATACAGTTGCGGTACCCATTGACAAAAATTGCAATGGAAGTCAATGGGAACCAAAACTGTTTGTTTACCAACATTCTTTAAAATATCTTCCATTATGTCCCCTAAGCCACACAGATTTGGAACGACACAAGGGTGAGTAAATGATGACTGAATTTTCATTATTAGGTGTACTGTCCCTTTAATGGTTGGAGTTCCTACCGCAGTTCGGGGAGTGTTCACTTCCAGCTTCAGCTGTTCCAGCTCCATCTTCAGGATTTCTTTATCTGACATGTCCCGAGCCATCCTGCCTATTCGGAGGAAATAAATGAAAGATATAAGTGAAATTAAGCTCAACATTCAACACTAAGGCCCGGTTTCACAGACAGGGCTTAGACTAAGCCAGGATTAGGCCATAGTGCAATTACGACATTTAAGTAATTTTTTATAAAAGTGCTTAGAAAAAAACATTACTGGTGTGCATCTTAAGACAAAACACAGGCAGTGATTTATTTTAAGATGAGTCAGTGCAAGTTTCTTTCAGTTGAAACAGCTCAGACTTACATTTTAGTCTAGGACTAGGCCTTATCTGTGAAACCGGGGGTAAGTCTCATAAACAATGCTTGTATACTGTAAAAAGTGATCCATTGTTTCTTTAACAAGATTTTTCACTCATAACATTTTTATATGATTTAATCGATAAAAATGAGATGACAATTAGATCAAATTTAAATGATGACTTAATGTATTTAGGTTGATTCAGTGATGTTATATTACATTTTTTACTTGACTAAAATCAATTTATTTAGATGATATTTTTAGGTTACCATTTTTCAATGGTTTGTTAAAAGCACTTAATTTAAAAAATAATAATAATTATAATTATAAAACTACCATAAAAAATGCACTTAGTGTGATTATAACATAAGAAAATGCTTATAAAAAACAATATGTTCCAAATCAACTTATAAAGCAACATTTAGAAACTCACTGTACATCAAAAAGCTATGCATTTATAGAGGTTAAATTTGATTATTTGAGCATGTTTTACAAGAAAATACTATTTCAGTTTTTCTATTTCAAAATTTCACATTTAATTCAATGTGTTACATGCCATTTCTTTGTAATTACTTGTGAAATTTACCAGCAATTTCTGAGTGAAAATTGCTACACACTAAATGCTTTTCACTGTTGCATGAAAAAAAAAAAAAAAAAGTCCTAGTGGTTTCAGTAAAATAATGATTTTTTTTGACCGTCCTGTAAATGTAACATAAACATAAACAACAAAAAATCCTCCATTTACCTGTTGAATGGGACTCGCAGCAGCCAGAGAAATGTCCTGATGACTCCTAGGAGATCATCAGCGTGCAGGTTCTTCGTCCGCTCCTGTCCTCTTCGTCTGTGAGCAGACTGAGCTCTGATCTCTGGGTCTTCTCCTCTATTTCTGTTGTCCGGACCCCTCCTTCTCCTTGCTCTTTCTCAGGTGAAGGGATTGATCCTGGTGGGGATTGCGCTCTGATGTCATCGATCTCCCCTGATCTCATTAGGCCAATGAGAGCAAGTAGGACGGCCGTGAGGAGTCACCTCTAAACAACACTGAAATATTGCAGGAAAGGGCAGCAGGACGTACCAAATGTGGAAAATGAAGAGTGCTGCCATTCTCCCTGAAATTGTGCATTGATGGAATTACATGCTAATTTGTAGCAAGGACTTATGCATGTAAACTTCATCCTAGAAAGAGCTCAGTGTGATTCGTATAATCACAGGCAAGAAGCAGAGCATTGGTTGAGCATAATCGGACAGCAGAAGCAGTATATATCCATTTCCTACCGTACATGTCATACTGTGCTGCCTTGAACTCAATTTAATATCTTCAAGTTTGTTTATACAGCACATTGTCTTAACATTTTTCATCAAAACAAACTTTTATTTTTTTTGCTTTGGTACTACTTTCACAAGCAACTATTTTCAAAGCTCTTAATATCACAACAGATCATCAAAAGTGCACTTTTTTCAAACATTTCATCATATTTTCAATTGTCTTAGTACAATACACAATAACACAAAGTATCCTTTTCACTACACAAAATAAATGTTTCATCTAAAAGTTTCATTCACAGTAACAACCTTTCATAAAGCTCTTACCATCAAACTTTTCATTTGCATGTCTTCTCATTCAGTTTAATACATTCGTCTATTATTTAATCTAACTCATCTTAATGGTTAATCAGCTAATCATCTGGTGCATCTATAGATATAGATTCAATAGATAGAACTTGTTTGCAATTTAGGGATAATCAAATGTAATGAATTATTTTTACACTATAAGTGATTTATCTTAGATGATAACCACTATTTTGTAAGTGTGTGTGTGTGTGGCAAACCCAATGTTACGGGGACAATATCTGAAATCCTTGTCCTTGTGGGAGACTTTTTTTTTGTGGCCCTATGAGGAAAACCATCATTTTCATAAGAGTAGGTTTAGGAGTAGGGTTAGCGCTGGGGGATAGGCAAGGTTGGCAAAGTTGAAGTAGAAAGAATGAAATAGTATTTTTTGTCAAATTTACTCCAATAATCTTTTTATTTAAAACTTCAAAAAAAAATTGTTTTTTTAAACAATGTAATGTTCCTGTAATGTATGACATGTTCTCCAGTTAATATTGTTTACAATCAGTCATGAAGTAAAATGTGGGGTTTTGGGTCTCTTAGGTGCTAAACTGAACATGCAAACTGAACTCAATTCTCAGATGTTCCTCAGGTGTGTTTGGCTGTGTTCCACTGGCATCATGGCCCAATAAACTGCTCAGTGCAGGATTACTCCTGCTACAATCCGCTTAATAACTGCAATGCTTCCTTACATTCCCCATGTTGGAAAAACAAGACTATTATCTGATGATTAAGAGTGTTTCAAGTCCAACAAATCACGTCTAGGATAGTTTTGGAAGTGGCAGTGGAGGAAAACATTGCCAGAGACGTTCACCTGACCTCAACGGGCTTACATTTATAGTTGCTATGTGTTTCCACTCATACGTCTTTGCTCTTCTGAGTGCGTGTTGAACTCTGGGTAAGCTTGTTGTGGCACTGGCCTCACCTGTAAACTGGTTTCTCTGGATCTGGGTTAGGCCCCCTTTGTACAGGATTAGCAACCTTGATTCATGATGAGTGACTTTATGGAGTCTTTATGAAGAGGAACTTCTAAAAGTACATGGGTCACACCCTGTTGAAAAAAACAGCATATGCTGGTTAGGTACGTTTTGACGCTGGGATGCTGGTTTAAACTGGTCCTTTGCTGGTTTAAGCTGGTCCTTTTGCTGGTTATGCTGGTCCTTTGCTGGTTTATGCTGGTCCTTTGCTGGTTTAAAATGGTCCTTTGCTGGTTTAAAATGGTCCCTTTGCTGGTTTATGCTGGTCCTTTGCTGGTTTAAAATGGTCCTTTGCTGGTTTAAAATGGTCCCTTTGCTGGTTTATGCTGGTCCTTTGCTGGTTTAAAATGGTCCTTTGCTGGTTTAAAATGGTCCCTTTGCTGGTTTATGCTGGTCCTTTGCTGGTTTAAAATGGTCCTTTGCTGGTTTAAAATGGTCCCTTTGCTGGTTTATGCTGGTCCTTTGCTGGTTTAAGCTGGTCCTTTGCTGGTTTA